GCCTTTCATTGCGGGAGCGATAATGAGAAGCCGAGTAACAAAGGCAAATTCATTTTATGTGTGAGGAATCAGCTATTTCATGGTTTGTGTCTAATCTCTAGTCAGGCTTTGGGGAAACAATGTGAATACAATCCCTGCTGGTCTGCTGTATTGTGTATGATACCGTGATTTCTTGTGGATGAGTCGAATAACTATATATAGCTTGATCCTTTGCAGTCTATATCAACCACAGCCACTTGCTGTCTTAGATACTTTTGTCCAGTAGGCATTGATCTCAGGTCAGTTTTCGTGGAATCTGATAAAACTATGTTATGCCATCATCTGATCCTCATGTTTAGTTTTGTGACAAAGAACTCTAAATTCTCTTGTCTATTTAGCTCATTTTTAATCATGGATGTCAATGATTAAATAGATCCCTGAATATTAGTATTGACACCCAGGGATGAGGTAGAATCCTAGAATCATGCCATACAGAAAAGGTCCTTTGACCCATTGAGCCTGTCCCACCAAAGCTACTCTAATCTACATTGGTCCCAGTTCCCAGCACTTGGCCCGTAGCCTTGAATGTTATGACGCTTCAAGTGCTCATCCAAGTACTTTTTAAAGGTTGTGAGTTTTCCTGTCTCGACTAACCTCCCAGGAAGTGCATTCCAGACTCCCACCGCGCTCTGGGTCAAGAATTCTTTCCCTAAAATCGCTGTAAACCTCCTGTCCTTCACCTTGAAATGATGCCCTCTTGTTATTGACTGTCCGATAAAGGAGAACATCTGCTTGCTATTCAACCTTTTCATGCTCGTCATAATCATATACACCTCAGTCTGGTCCCCCTCAGTCTTCTCTATTCCAAAGAAAACAACCCAAACTTATCCAGCCTCTCTTCATAGTGGAAAGATACTGAAAAGTGACCAGTGCCCACATTTAGCTCAGTGAAGGAGGAGGAGAAGGATAAAATAGAACGGGGAGAAAAGAAAGAAAACAGTGATTACACTTGAAAGTGTTGCTTAAAAAAGAAAGATGCGAATGGAGCTTATTGTCTTGCACTCATCAGGAAAACACAAGGATGCCAAACTTCAAATGGTCACAATAGTTCAGATTTGGGAAAAAAAGCGAATTGATTGGTTGACAAGTTAACATTGATTGGCCTGTGCATTACCATTGTTATATTTCCAGTTGATGGTAATCCTGGGCAAATTAGGTCTTTTTTCAGTGTGTGTGGCAGTCGTTCACTATAAAAAAAAGTGACATGAGGCTACAGATTTTCCTTAACAACAGAACAAAGGTTTATTACTCAAAGGATAAAAACAAAAAAGAAGTTTATCCAGATACGGAAGACAGTTAGAAACAAAAACTCAAAACATCCAGCAAAGCAAAATTTCAATCTATTCCCCAACACCATCACTTTGTAACAATTCAAATCCAGATAAATTATATTTCAATATCAAATCTTTAAATTCAATGCAACTGATTCTCCTCATTTCTTTCCTATGAACTGTGAAGACCCTTTATGTGAGTATTCAGAAAACTGAGAGTTTAGACTTTCTCAGCTTTACATAGCCTGCAGATTTCTAACTAAATGTTTCTAGTCTGGAAGTTGCATAAACTAAACACTTCTTCTACTGAGGTAACTGTGGTTTCCTTGAATTCTTTTCAAGGAGAAAAATTATGACCTGGATTTTCTGGGAACAGAATATCGCAGTATGATTACCAGTCTGCTCATTCCGTTTTGTTACAATAATGCTGAGATCCATATTTCTTGCCGGGAATTCCAATCCCAGATCCTTCAGAAATGTGTGCTTTAGCTGTGAGGAGCAGTTGAATCTCAGAACAGTGTACTGTGTTCTGAGAATCAAAATGTCCAGCAGTATAACTGATGATTTAGATATCTGTTAGGCAGGCGTAAGTACACAAGTTAAGTGGAAGATTAGAATGAGAGTTGAGGAAGGTGTTAGGGTGCAAGGTAAGCAGACTGCCAGATAATAGCATCATTAGGGTGGCTTGGGGGATAATGGTTGTGTTGGGGCCAGCAATGTTTTAGGGGATGGCAGTACTGGTGATAAAGAGCAGGGCTTTTGTGGAGGGGATGTTTGGGAATTGACGTTGAGGAGATTAAGTGGGAAAAATGTCAGGACCAGTAGTGAGGGTCTCAAATGTTGGAACCTGGGATGTGGGGGTTTAGACCAGTGGTAGTAGAGGTATATTTTTATTCATTCATGAGGTGTGGGTGTTGTTGGCTGACCAGCATTTATTGCCCATGCCTAGTTGCCCCTTGAGAAGGTGGTGGTGAGCTGCCTTCTTGCTGCAGTCCAAGTGCCGTGGGTTGATTCACCATGCCCTTGGGGAGGGAATTTCAGGATTTTGACCCAGTGACAGTGAAATAATGGTGATATATTTCCAAGTCAGGATGGTGAGTGGCTTGGAGGGGAACTTGCTGGTGGTTTTCCGATATACCTGCTGCCGTTATCCTTCTAGGCAGAAGAGGTCATGGGTTTGGAAGGTGGTGGCTGAGGATGTTTGGTGAATTTCTGCAGTGCATCTTGTAGATAGTACACATTGCTGCTACTGAGCGTCAGTGGTGGAGGGAGTGGATGTTTCTGGATATGGTGCCAAACAAGAGGGCTGCTTTGTCCTGGATGGTGTCAGCTTCTTGAGTGTTGTTGAGGCTGCACCCATCCAGGCAAGTGGGGAGTATTCCATCACACTCCTGGCCTGTGTTTTGTAGATGGTGGACAGGCTTTGGAGAGTCAGGAGTTAATTAATCTGCTCAGGGTTGGGCATGGCTGCCAGAGGGCCTGCTGGGGGTAAGAGGTTGGGGGAGGAGCTGGTGATGGTGTTTGTGCTTGTATATGGCAGTTTGAGGGGTTAACTTAATTGTTAGACAAAGTTTAGACTTGGTTTTTGACTTTCCCTGGGTAACTATTATCTGAACTGAAGCAAAACTCTTTGAATTCTCTGATGTTAAGGTTTCATCTCTTTTGGAGGTTTCAGATGCAGATTTCTTCAATTTCAACAGCAATGCCGATGGACTCTGCAGAGTTTGAGATTCCACAAGGTCCCGATACACAACGCTTGTCTGTGCTGCTCCAATGACCATCTAGTCATCATTCCTTTGTTTCTGACCTTGGTCAGGTCACTTCTAAATTGGCCAGAAATTTTCAACTGCTGGACTTATTAAGCCAAAATCTAACTGTGATTTTTTTTTCCATTCATGGAATGTGGGAATCACTGGCTGGCCAGCAATTATTACCTGTACTATTGGCCCTTGAGAAACTGATGGTGAGCTGCCTTCTTCACCTGCTGCAGTCTTTCTTGAACAAAAGCAAGCTAACAGCCTTAAACACTTGCACTCTCTGTCGAAAATCAGAACAGTGCAAACAACCTTCCATGAACACTCCAGGAATCTTGGCTCTTTGACACATGTTTGACACATGTCACAGATTAATTCATATCTAGAAGGACTATTATATCTAATGATTTTTTGTTTTAATAGCCCTTCATAAAAGTAATCAGCCTCATATGCCACTATACTAAAATCCAAACTCTGGAAAGTCTGCAAGGCTTTCAAATATTCCTTTTATTTTCAGAGATAAGGTCCTGCACATAAATTTATTTCTCTTTTACCAGGCTTAATTCGACCACATTACAAGTTCAACTAATTATTTTAACCTTTTTCCTTATGTAGCTAACACTGCACTTCAAAAGAATTTTGAGTGAAAAGTACATGATAAGACCCAAACATCGTAGAAGGTATGGCATAAAACCAGCTGCTTCCTCAAAAATAAACCCAAATCTTATGGATATATTAATAAATTGAGGAACCTTTTCATTACTGTCAAAAGAAAGAGCAATATCGAAACTCAGTGCCTCCAAAAAAACTGGTCATAAAAATATCAATAAATGTGAAGCTGGAAAAGCATAGCCAGTTGGACAGCATCTGAGGACCAGAAAAGTCAACGTTTCGGGGCCGAAACCCTTTGGCATGATTCAGCAGGAAAGTCGATGTTCTGGGCTGAAAGTCAATCGATTATTCCATTTAAAAAGATACTCTTCAGGTTATCAATGTTTTAAGTTTTACTTTAAAGTTTTATCAATGTTTTACAATTTGAACTAACTCGTTATTGGCTGATTTGAAAGAAATATCTTTCCTTATCAGCCAGAATCTTATTAACACACCTCTGAAACAATATAGCAGCCCCAAGATTGCGGGAGTGAATGGTGGAATTGTGGGGAGAGGTGAGATATATCCTGTCAATGATTACAAAAGAAGATCCCACTGGAACTGCCTTCACTTCTGCAAGGATTAGGCTTTGATTCTCTGAAACCCTGAGATAGACCTTGTCCAAACGTAAGCAGTTTGAATATTGAATGTTCCAGTTTCTTGGAAAGGCCCCCATGATATTCCAATATTTCAATCCTTCTGACAAATTAACAGCAAATTTTTTTGTCCTCCAATAACACGTCAATCAGACAACTCAGACAAAGCTTTCTTTGATGCAAAGGGATATATTTTAAATATTCCTGTGCTTATTGTGAATGGTACCACCAGGACACACAAAGAGTGTGGACGCGCTCTGTCATGAGTTGATGCCACAGAAGCGACAGAAGGAAAGGATGTTGCCAAATGCTGCAGAATTGTGAATAATGCCAATAACCTCAACGAGGGTGAATAATGAGGTTCAGAGAGAGTTAGTAGAGGAATCAGGCCCAGACTCTAGATGCGGCCTCTTAACTCTAAACAGGGTCCCATCCCCCACCAGGGGTAGGCAATGAGACAGTGGCAGCTGGAGAGTTGGATGCTCTCACTCCCAGCCTTTCAATTGTAATACACTTGGCTTTTGACACAGTGAAATTAAACCTGTGAACATGCAAGGATTTTGCACCTCATTTTCTTAAACAACAACATGCTCCCATCAGAATCAAAGCCTTACAAAGTGCTAGCTGCTTTGGGCAAAAATATCTCTCAAATTCCAAGCAATGTGATGGGCTGCAGTAACATTGCTCACCTTTTGGTCCTGGCTGCAGGCCAGGATCCAATCCTCTTCCTCAGGATGAAACAGCATGCTTTGAATCTGAAAGCTTTGCCGGTACTTTTGATAGGTTGCGCCTTCATCTGAGCTGATGAGGACACTGCTCTCAATCTCTGGATCACTCACAAGCATTATCTATTCAAGGCAGGAGAAAAGATAAAACAAATCAGGGGAAAAACTTAACGATGCAGACAGAAATGCAAAACAAAAAAAAGAATTTGAGATAGTAGGAACTGCAGATGCTGGAAAATCTGAGATAACAAGGTGTAGAGCTGGATGAACACAGCAGGCCAAGCAGCATCAGAGGAGCAGGAAGGCTGACGTTTCGGGCCTAGACCCTTCATCAGAAAT